GAACTGGGGGCACTTCCACGAGATCTTTTTTTTTTTTTTTCCTCCGAGAGATTGTCAGTGTCTTGCTACTTTCCCAGTCCCAGCGGCTCAGCGGATCCGACGACCCAAACTCCGACTCTTGACTGACGCCAAAATGTTCGTTGCGGATCACAGGTGCAGAGTCATTACACCCCTAACTCGCAGGCCTGTGACCTGCATTGACCTGCACATACGAGTAGCATCCATAGCATCATTGAGCTACAGAGAAGGCACAGGAAACCTGTATTGTTCTTCTCTGACGGTCCCGCCTGCGAACCACCCTGCGCGCCTCCGGTGTACTTGGAGTAGTCCATGTACTTTTGGTAGCTGCTTCCTTCAGAGCTGTCAGCAGTGCCACTGCTGGTCTTGTCTGCCGCCTTGCCGCTTGATGCATCCGCAGCCGCGAGGCTAACGGGGCCAGATTCTGCTGTCTTGTCCCCTGGCATGTACTTGCTTGCATAGCCACCGGCATACTTTGACATGAACTGATCATAGCCACCTGATCCGGAAGAGCCATACTTGTCCATGTACTGCTGGTAATACTTCTGGTAGCCAGAGCCGCCGGAGCCACCCATATATCCAGAAGCATACTTGTTGACATAGTTCTGATAGTCTCCTGCATGCCGTCTTAGGCCAACCTCTGATCAGTACTACTACTTACGCCTAGGGGCATTGACCTTGTATTTCTCTGCTAGGCGAGTGCAACATCGCACTTGTTTAGCACGACATACCTACAGCCTTTTGCAAGTTTGCATGCTGAGAACTGGGACGGCTGTCAGTTCAATGCTGATGCTTGAAGCTCCACAGCCCAAAGTTCGTCTGCAGTCGCCGGTTGCTCAAATACACATGCAGCTTTGCAAATATTTGATATGATTCAGTCTGACTTGACTCCCGAACCTTGAGCAGCAAGTCTCGCCGGAAGCAGAAACGCAAGAAGCGTCCACACGGCCATGATCGGTGAACAGCAAAATGTCTGCCGAGCTTGAGCAAAATTGTGTCTCTGCAGAGGGAATGCGGGTGATGGCTAGGACGAGGAACTTGCTTTAACGCTGCCTGGCTGTTCACGACTTCACTCGGCAGAGGCAACGGCGCCTTCTGAAAACTCTGCATCTGGTGAGCACCTGGGTTCATGCGTTCAGGAGAATCTCCAGACGGAAAGAACCATCTTATTGAGCACTCCCGCTTGGCCCCCGAGGCTTGTGGCGTGCTCTGTTTTGCTCTGCTGTGATCCGTCTCACAATACGCAAGCTACGCTGTTGGAGTCTCGGGTGCAGCTCCGGCATGCTTTGAAGTTTGCTTGGTGCGCCACCTGTATCGCTGGACAGCCCGGTCGGGCTTGGCCGTGTCAGGGGGCCAGTCCTTCCCGGGCTTGGCAGTCAAGCGAAGTAGCATCCGTTGAAAGCATTCGGATGCTCATCGTTTGGATCGAACTGAGTGTCAAGCCTCAGTGCCAAAGCGGTCTCGAGCAGAGCGAAGTCTGCGCTTGCCAGGCCTTGCAACACGCATCAGAAGAATATGTGGATCACGGGCAGACCTTTTCCGATCTGTCATCTAATCAGTTTGCGAAGTCAAGATGGGAAACTATGACGCAGCGGCATCTGGACAGAGCTTACACTAGCGTCCTCCATTCTTGGAGCCTCTGTTCATTGATGTTTGTAGCGGTTTCGTGACGTTCCGTCGCTCGCTCCCTGGAAAGGCAACAGTGTCCATTTCCGATTGGACTGGTAGATGTGCTGCGAGTGTGGAAAATGCCCACACAGCTTTCCTGCCATCTTTCTCTGCTGTCTGCCAGGGACCCGGCCTGCAACTGGCCCCACATACAGCCGGTCCACCAAAGCCTACCGAGCAGATGCGCACTTGATAGTCGGTGAAGCAGGAGCTCAGCACATAGGCTGCCACTACCGCGGCTCAAGACAGCTCGCGTGCAGCTCATCATTTACAAGACACGTGAGCCTCCAAACTAGATGCTGCCGCAGCTCCCAGCGCCAACTCCACCGCATCTAGGCCGCCGAAGCCCTGGAGTGAACGTAAGAGCGATGAGCAACGCGTTTTAATCAAAACGGCCCGTAAGCTTCTACCAGTACAAGGACAAGGGGTCCCAGAATGCCAAGGTGCCGGGTGAGGAAGCTGCTCCGAGAAGTACCTGTCCAAAGCTTCCGAGCCTGGCGACCGGTTTTATGTGGTGGGCAGCCCTCCCAACTTCCGCCACAGCAGCTTTGCAATCTGTCACTAGGACCTGTACCCCTTTCAACCCTAATGTAGCCCTCGCCAGGAAAGGCGCCTGCTGCAAGGACTGCGCGATGCGCGACAGCAGTCTGGCCCCGTCCTGTTGTCAAGACCTTAAGGCAAGCCAAAGATTCCGTAGGAAAAGACTGCAAAGTACTCTGCAATCTCGCAAGCCTCAAGGATCGCCTGCAGCCTACGACTCTGATCTGGCCACTCAACGTTTCACCCGAGGATCGCGCGACAGACTCGCTTTTACAATTCCAGGGTTCCAGCCCAGCCCAAACCAACTTCAAAGCTGACAGATCCGCACTCCGTACACTGCAGCATCCTCTGCCGGATTGTGAACCCTGTCCCAGCTAGCTGCGAACCCTTCGAGCGCCGTGCGGTGTCGCAGAAAATGCACTGGCGACGCAGTGTGGACAGTGTCCTGCAGGTTTGCCCAAGAGGAGAAGCATCCTTGTGCCTGTCTCAGTATTCCGTGTCTAACACCCCTCTGCACTGTTTAGTAAAAGCACAGTACGGCGTGAGGTGGGGGACAAACACGATTCCCCTGCAAACCGGGCACCCCGGATGAATTCGTCCTTGACTACCTGAAGATACCTGAAGCCTTATAATCATTGATCCTAGAGCGCAAGGAACACCTGGCCAGCCGCAACGATGGCAGCTCTGAAGAGGGAGAAGGTCCCAGGGCCTTCGGTCATTGCTAAAACCCCCGCTTTCAACGTGGAACATCGTGGAAGACTAGAGGACAGACTAAAGGACAGACGGAATCTTGGAGCCCGGACCTCCAAAAGTTGCATGGCTTCTCTGCAGCTGCCTTCACAACCTTCTGGCTCGGTGCTGCAACCAGCGCATGTAAGATCTGCCGCGCACGTAATAGAGCTACATGAGGAACCTTAAAACGTCTGCAAAAAGTCAGCAGATCGGACTGCATACTGGGCTTTCTGATGCATTCATGGAGGGCGTCATGAATTTCATGTTGTGCCTTGAACGAGGGCAGCAAGCTGGTCAGTGGTCGTGGCACCATAGATGTGGTCGATGAGCAGCCGAAGGACTTCTGGCCTCTCTGACATGCCAGCAGCGCAACCATGCATTATGCTCTTTTGCGGAGGGAGATAGAGCGATAGAGGACAGAGCGAGAGCGGGAAGGAGAACACGCCTCGCGCAGCGCGGGAATCGCAATTCGGCAGGAGGCTGCGCTTCAATTTTGCCAGGGCTACCTAGCCAAGATGAGGCACAGACTTGCAAAGCAGACCAAAGTCACGGACGGCCGTTCAATCAGGTGGGGCCTTGCCACCGACCACCTCCTTCACTCTGCAGTGCCTGTGGATGCAACAGCAAAATTTTCATGCAACGTCACGTAGCCATGTTCGGCAGACAGTTGCGCAGCGCCTGCTGCCATGTGGAGCTTGCTGTGGCCAGGACAGCGCGGTGAGCTTCCATCCTGCATGCGTCGCGATCCCTGTCTGGAACGAGTGAAGAGGCTGCGATGCCGACATGGCACGTCACAGCTCAAGTTTCATTCTAGAGCTCTTGCCAGAATCAGCGACCGCACGTCCGACAGCCGATGAAATGGCCTGCCTTGTGTCAGAAGCAACAAGCACGACATCACCTTGGATGCGAATGATGCACACAGCGTTGCGCGCGGGATCTCGAAGGGCACATCTTTGCTGTCTCGGCGGCAATACTTGCCTTCGGCTCGAAGGTGACGAAGACGCTGCGCAAGATTATTACAGGCCTTTGCTTTGCCATCTGACTTCAACTGCTTCAGCAGCGGTTGCTGCTGCGGAAAGCCGAGCGGCGTCCACCACTGCAGCGTCCGGGGCAGGCGCCATGGCCTTGTAGCATGCGCCCCGAAGTGATGCTCTCGCTTTTTCGCAGTTCTGATGCTGGGCAGAGTCGCTTGTTGCTTGTATGTTTTTGTGCATTTAGGGATGCAAGAACATTTTCGACTGCGGCAGCTTGGGCCAGAAGCGTGGCGTGTGACATCGTGTGACTCTGACAGGAGAAAGCCAGCATGCTTGGAGCAGGTGAAGCAGTGGTGAAGCAGCACGCTTCCGTGTGTCTACCATGCCTACAGTTGGCCTGGAGCAGATTTGGCACATGCTGGTTCGCTCTAAAGGCTCCGTTGCGCTGCCTCCCAGTAGCCTGCACCTGCTGCGCGTACCTTCAATTGCACGGGTGCAGCTCGCTTTGCAAACTATTCCGGTGACATGCGGGCAGCCAGTTCGCGTGCCTTGCCCCAGAGGGAAGATAACCCTTCCTGTGCTGCCTTCACAGAGCTGGAAAGACTACAGGGCCGTGGGCCGCACAGAATCGGCCCTGAAAAGCTCAGGCATTAGCGTTCACAGCGCTGTCAAGGTCCAGTGCACCTGCGAGGCGGTATCAGAACGAACAATAGCGAGGCCTTCCCACTCTGTCACCGCACGTTACGACTCAAAAACGTAACTCACAACGATATCACCCTAATCCTTCACACTTGTTCCTTGCGCTTGCTTGTGCAAACCGTGAGAGATCCAGATACTCAAGCTTCGCGCAAGTCTCGATCCCTCGCTCGCATGTTCGGTTTCGTCTGCATACATGAAGCCTGAGCCGGCCTTCGTGGTAACCCATATAGGTAAGCTAAAATTATGCTGACACATGCCGTACAAATGCTTGGCCGGGCCTTCTGCGGAGTGTACAGATGATAGAGGCGGATATGGGGCACCCGAATCTGGACCCTGACCCGCACATGTTTGAAGGTGAGGTGAGCTTCCGACAGCAGATATCAAACATGGGTGCTGCAAGCACATCTGAGGGCAATGCGTGTCGCCTCTGAAATGCACAGACAGCGTACCTGGGCTGGCTACCAAAGCCTAATGGTTCCGATGGCTTTCAGAACCAACACACTTTCGTTACCAGTTACCAAGCACCTTACTAGGCCTTGCAGGTTTCACTAGACCGCCACAATCGAGGCCAGCACGCTGTGCTCAGGATTTCGTCGAAGTCCACTGTCCGCGGCCTTGGGTTCGGTTTGCTGGAGGTCGTTTGTGATGGGACTGCTATCATCTCTAGCATGAGGCAGGCTAAAACCCGTGTGTTGAATCTCCACAATGCTTTAACTCATTTGTGGCACATGCGAACGACTGAGTCATTGAAGGCGACTCTCACGGAAAGCAACTGCAAAAAACAACCTGTTTCAAGATGCGGTCATCTCCTCGTAGTTTACACCTTTAAACGAGTTGAGTTTCGGGCGCTGTCACCAGGCTCTCTGCCAAGCCGCCCACATCGTCACGCTGCACAGGGATTCTCAGGCACGGAAAATCAATCAATCTATAATCTCCGTCGCGCTGTGCGCGTGCACATGCGTGCATGTTTGCGGGCGGTGGATGGAGGAGCTGAGGCTGCGTTTTCGGGTGAGAGACTTCATGCGCTGCAGACGCCGAATCCACGGCAGCTTGCCGATGAAGAACCTTCCAGAGTCTCCCAGCCTGGAGAAGATCGCCTCTTCTCAGCAGTAGGAGAGCGATGACGATGTTGTCGGCAAACTGAACATGGCTGGCTCTTGCGGCTGCCATCAAACGGTTCCTAAACTGCTGGGCAGTTTTGCAGCTCAGCTCTGTGTTCGGCCTGAAACCGTCGCGGGTCGGCCAATATGCTGTCCCAAAGCCGTGCCTCCAGCCGGAGAAGACTTGGAGCAAAAGGGGCTCAAACACACTGCTAATGATGGCAATGATGTGCCAAACACATGCAGACTGCTCCGCTGTGCACATCAGCACCACTTTTCACGTTCTGATGCGGGTGTTTCCCGTCTGGTGGCTTCAGCTGGGCATCTTTTTGCTGAGTTTTTGGGAGCACAGACATGCACAGACGGCAGAGACTGCAGCCGCTAGGAATCTTAATCCAAAAGCTTGTTGCAAAAGTGTCCAAGACGAGGTTCCCGCTGCTTGCAGCAGAGAGAAGCCAGCACGGCAGAGAAGCAAAGCCCCAAGCCTGGCTAGTGTCACACATTTTTTGTCACTGGCTTCGGCAATGATCCCGTGGCCTTAACGCAGGCATCGCCACAAGACCATGATCATCCAACAACTTGGCCACCTCAGGATGGTAATGCATCATTGGAGACCCCAGCCCAGAAATCCGGGCTCTTCTTTGACTTGCTTGCACATGCACTTAGAAAGGTGGGGACTGGATAGTCAAAACAGCGGTGCAAGATGAGGAGTCGTCTTGCCTCGCCAAAAGCGATCTAGAAACACAAAGCCACTTCACCTTCAGGAATCACTTCGAGGGCCTGCGCTGCCAGTGCATCATCTCCAAGGATGGTCTCCTGCAGCGGCGCGGCGATGGGAAGCCAAACTGTCCGAAGGCACTCATGACATCTTCGCTTCCTGCGCATCTGCCAGAAGTTGCGAGAGGCACCAGAAAGCATCAGCCTGCAGCGCGTTACGAGTACCACGCTGCTGCCGCTGTCGGGAGATGTCGCGAAAGCTCACCTCTCCGTCTTCAAGCCGCGCCCGCTGCATCCCGGAGCTCAGAGCAAAGACCAGCCTTTGATCGATCGCAGTGCATGACTGAGCTTGCGAGCACGCTGCAAATTGCTTACGATCTGCAGGCAACACTTATCCGCAGGTGTTTGCCGTTGCGCCGTATGGCATTGCTTGTTGCTCATTGTGCTGATGTTGCACCTGACTCTAGCTGTCGCATGCTGTCGCATCTTCAAAACCTTCGGGAATTCTAAGACAAAAACCTCTCCGCAGCCAAGCAGCAGCCCTGCGATCTCACAAGCGCCCTTGACACACCTGCGGCCAAGACTCTCTATCGATCTTAGTACATCTCTGCGCGAGGACTGCGCTGGAACCTCGACACTCGCCAAGAGTATGTGAGGGCGACCTGGCTGCTGTGCAGGCTTTGTCAGCTCAAGGCAGCTGCTAAAATACGTGTTTTTTTTTTTTTGGGGGGGGGGNNGGGGTTGCGAAGGCAGAAGTGCAGCTACATCCTACAGTTTTCCCATCCCTCTCTGCGGCTCATGTCCTGTGAAGCAAGCCGGATCGGCCAAAACGGCTGCTCTTGCCGCCTGGTCCAGAGCTTCAAAACACTCTTCAGGAAAGACACCAGATCCGGTACGGTAAAGGGTTGAGGGTTGCTACCTCCTGACCTGTCTACATTTACACTACATATAGACATATATATAGTCATAGATACATGTACCAGTATTTCATTCACCACATGCAGCTGCAGAGGAGAAGCCTCGGTTCGCGAGAAAGTTTCTTCGGGCCACGCGCTTCGCAGATCATCCTCGACCTCCCGGAGCAGATTTTCTGCAGTTTGCTGCCCATCCAGGCGTCGCAGCTTTTGAAGCTTGCCTCTTTTCTCCAGTCCTTCAGCCAGGATGAAGAAGAGCTTGACGGGGTGGTCTCCTGAATTGGTCACGTTTCTTCTTTGCAGTGCTGTCCACGACAGACATACCTGCACAAACAACCGTACACGTCCACACCTTTCTCCCCGCACGTCGCTGCCCGATCTTCCGCATCCGTCCGGATCATGCGAGACATGGGTGAGACGGGGAGGCATGGCTGTGCTTCAGGTATTCTGGAAGCATGAATAGAACAGGACCTTCATGTCCACACGCAGAGAAAACAGCAAATCTTGCAGAAGGTGGGACCTCATGTCGAAATCAAACTTCACACACTTTGTCAGAGATGCTCTGCCTGATTTGCTGTTGGAAAGCCATGTCTTTGTCAGTGATGGAAGAGGTGCTTGAAGAAGTTCTGTCAGGACGGAAGAAGATCCAGGACTTGCCACGGACGTTTGAGCCCTGGTGCCTTGATGTTGTTGAAGAGCCCTCCGCCTCCACATCCCTTCCCTGAGGCCAGCATGAAGCTGTTCCGAGATCGAAACTGCAAAGAACAAAACAACAACCCATCTCGCTTCGTGCCCGCCTTCTGCCGTGCAAGTGTCCTGCCAGTATGTGCAGCTTCCAGACTTGAGGTCAAGATCCACGGTGCCGCCGTCCTGGAGGCGGTTGATGACCTGGATCTGCTTCTGTGCGGCAGTGTCGTAGACCCTGCCGGGAAAGAGTCTGAACTGCAAATGAATGCTGAACCTCATCCTGGCTCTCTCCAGGGGACGCCTCAAAAGGTTCGCGGAGGTCTCCAAGCCTGTGCACCAAGTCCGGACACATCGAGGAAGTCGCTGCAGCCGTGCGAGGAGCGGGAAAATCTCACTTGCTGAATTGAAGCACACCCTGCCTCGCTTCCTCATTTGTGCAACTGCCTAGCGAGTGGAAACGGTTTCACGTCAAATGCAGCCAACAATGGGCCAAACCCCTGTCTGGAGCAGTCCCTTTTGCAAAGCCAATTCTGAAGGTCAGAGAAAAGCACCGTCGCCTGCACTACCTCTTCTGTCAGGCCCGCTGGAAGCTTCTTGGCAAGCGCCTGGAACTTCTCGTCCACCAGCTGAGGCAGATACGACTCCAAAAAGATGTCTGATTCGGCCCCGCGCACTGCACCTGGAAGAAGTCGTCGAACTGCTTAGTGACGCTGCTGACCTTGAGTAAAGCTCCATACAGGCTGGAGTTGTATTCCTGATTGGCACAAGTTGTCCACGTCCCTTTTGCGAGTTCCGGGCTCTGTCAGTGGCCTGGCTGAGTGTCGCGTTCAGCTTGAGCACGGCGCAGGATGCAGAGTCTGCCTGCCGAAAGAAAGACCAAGTCGCATTTCCTCAGGCCTTCCTATGTCATCCTCAGCGCCACTTACAAGTTCCCTCATGACAAAAATGATGTGGGGGGATGCAAGGACGGACCCCAATGCAGAGAACTACGCATGTAGATGCGACCGGGGAGCAGTTACCGAACGGGCGTCCTGCAAACACATGGGCTTCACAACAGGTGTCACGTACTTGCACTACGGAGCTCGCCACCGGGACGTGCAGAGTGCCAAAAAGCAGGCGAGCAGGTGCTACAGATTTTTAAATCGCAGCAGCTGCCTGGTTTTGTCTACCAGCGGAGCAGTTGGTCCTTGGCCACGGCCAATGTCATGTCTGCCGCATTGTCGATTCCGGCCAGCAAACCCACGAGCCTGCACAGCTGAGTCTCAATTGGCAGATATGCACAGTCGCGGAGAAGAACCAGTATGTCTGCACGGAGGCAGGGTCTGATAAAGTGGAAAAGATCCAGGACGGCTTGCATCATGAGACTGAAACGAACTCAAATCTGATTCGTTGGCTGAGCCGAGAACGTACTGTTCAGCTTGATGGCCGTGTCCTGGGTGCTGGCTTTACATGAAGTCCAGCAGAAGTGCAGTTGAGGGCAAAAACTCGCTTTAACTTCTTCAGGTTCTGGTGACAAACCGAGAGGCTATTTGGCCCACCGTCGACAGGGTCCCTACGGCGATGTGCTGCAGTCGGATGGCCTGTCCGTTTTGTGACACACTGACGCACAATGCATGAAACTACGAAGGGACTAGGCGCCTGCTGCTTGTACTCGCGCCAAAACACCTCCGATTGCAGGTCCGTGCCGAGGAAATGCAACCGTGATCCCTGGACTTGCAGCCCGAGTCAACTTCAAAGATCGGCCGTTGCTTTACAGCCGGGGGGCACGGCATTTGTCCATCACCGATGCTACCTGACAAAAAACCCGCCCCGAACATCGAGGCGAGGTGCTCTTGAAGCTGCACAGCTTCGCTTCTCCGAACCGGCCTTCTTCTTAACGATCTCGACCTGCTCTTGGATGGTCATGTTGGCATGATTCACGAACTTCGTCTCGGCCTCCTGCAGCTTTGTACTTGGTGGGCGGTGGCCCGTTAAGCTCTCCGGTCTGTGCATTTCCCTCCTGCTCTGAGCCTGCGTAGGCACTGCAAATTGGGGGCGGGTTTCGGTCCTCTGCATCGGCTGCAAATTTGTTGACGGCCTGGCACACCCACATTCCTTGCAACGCAAACCTCCCTCAACCACGAAAGCGGATGGCAAAGCTGCTTTGGCCACAGGGCCCTGTGCAACGCGAGCATCGGAGCCTTGTCGAAATCATCCAGAGCAGCGTCTGACTGGGACCTTTCGTTTGCAGCTGCCACGGTGCTGCGTACCATGTGCTGGTCGCTTCCCGGTGGGATTCTCACTTTGCACTATCTACGGCCTTCGGACCTTGTGGCCTTACCCAGGGCTCCCCGGCACGATGGTGTCCAAGACTGTCTTCTGCACGTCTCCCACATTCTGCTCGGCTTTGTGCAGCATTCCTTGTCGGCGAGATGACTGGGCAAAGGATCATATCCGAAGGCATGTTCGAGCTGTCCGAGGCTCCTCCCAGCGTGTCCCAAATGCCCCTGTCAACATCGCCCTCTTGGAAGAGCGCTACCTGTCAGTCTCAACTTCTTCGGGCACCCGACGGCTTGCCCTCCCTGTGCCGAGCCTCGGAGTCCGAGCTGGGCCTTAGACCCGAGCAACTGGCTCATTTCCGATAAGCTCGGCCTCTCCAAAAACCTGGCTACACTGCGCAGTCTTGCTCCAAGGCACGTCAGGACACGTGTCTGCAACAGGCTCATTTTGAGCAAGTCAGCCTTCCAGCAAGTTCGAGCATGCACGAGCTCCGAGGGACCTGTAGAAGGGAGCTACTACAACCGTTCCATTCTACAGGCGCAAGCGGGCTTCACTAGTGCGAGGGCTTCACGAAAAATTACGAGGTTTCAGGACAAGCGAAAACTTTGCATTGATCGTCGTCCTCGACATCGCCATTGTCTGCGGACCACAGGAGATCCTCACGAAACCAAGGTGCACTTCAGCTGACTTTTGCAGTAAGCACCTCCTTCCTACACTGACACCTCGAGCAAAGCAAGCTTAATGACTTGCAGTTAGGCCTCGCTGTCACAGTCTTGCGATGCTTCTACGCAAAGTTGGAGGGCAATGAGGCAACCTGAGTCTTGAGGACTGTGCTTCCGATCAGCTGTGACAGTCACCAAGGAGGCCCATCACAGAAACAGAATCTCACAAACCACGAACCACGAGCTGCTGCAAAGGTGCCAACATGTCTCCACATCATGTGAGATCTGTTGGATCTGTTCGTTGGAATCCTGTGCAGCAGGCATACTATGTCGTGAGCAGCAGAATGACAGCACAGCGGACTAGGGCCCAAGCTCAGTGTCAGAGACTGTAAATGGATCCTCAGCACATGCATGTCTGGTAAACATTTTGTGCTGCGCCAGGAAGTGTAGAAAGTGCGGATTTTGCGACTCAGCCGGAATCACGGCATGTAGAACCATGACATGGTTGCCATCTTGACGTGTGGCTGACATAGCTGCTGTACTAACCGAGTAGCAATGCGAGGGCACAGGGCTTCCTCCCTCGCAGCAGGCAAATCTCCCGAGCCGAGAAGCAAAGGGAATACACGTTCAAATGCTGACTGCCTTGTCTGGTAGTCGCATGCCGGACTGCAGTGTGAAATTCGGTGGCCGAGACATCAAGTTGATGGAGGCTATCCAGCTTGCAGCTCCCCTACTTGTAGTGACTGCTGTGTGCAGGCGAAGCTTGAGAAGAGCTCCTGCTGTTCCACTGCCGGCGCTTCAAGATCTGTCAACATCTTAGAAGGCGGGCATGCTCTTCAATCTTCTTGTCTCAGCTCTTTTACCTCGCACAATAGTGAGGCCACGACCCTGGAACGCAACTCTCGGTAGGCACCACGCCTGGATACAGCACTGAATAATCAAGCCAACCACGAGCCATGAATTCTGATCAAACACAACCATGGTGAATGGGACCTCTCACGCAGCGTCGGCTCATCCTCAACGGTCCTGGACAACAAGGCTTGTCGCTGACAGGCTTTCGCTTCAAAGGCGCAGTGGTGAACGTGACTCTGATTGCTTTGCTGCACCGATGAAGCCCTGGATGTGGCCATGCTCTCTTCTGTATCTATCCGAAAAGCACTTGCTGCTCCCGCTGCCCAGGAGTGCTCGCCATAGCGCCGGGCGCTCGGTGGGAGAACCTCATCGAGCTCAGCTCTTACGCAACAAAACGACCAGACCTTTGTGACAAAGGCAGAGCTCCTGGGATCTCCTGGGATCTGCGCTGCCGTGGCGGAAGGCGACGGCCGCAGCAGTGACCGAGTCCCCATCCTCAGCAGGCATGGCACGTCCGCAAGGCCAAGGTTGGGCTCTCAGATTGCTGTAGAATGCCGTCGATGCCCTCCGACGTGCCTCCATCGAAGCCCTCAGTGCAGAGCTTGTCTCCGCCTGCAAAACGACGCCCTACCAGTAGCTGGCAGATGTGGCGTGAAGCACCCGGCCTCTCCACTAAGTTCGTCCAGCACGCGCTGCCTGGCGACAGAGCCGAAACCGATCATCAGCTGGGACCTCGGCAGCTGTGCAGCTTCGCCACGCTGTTGACGGCACTTCGTGGCAATCCCATTGCACCTTGGGCTGTTGCAGCTGCACACAAAAGCCAGCGAAGAGCATAATGAGTAGCATAATGAGGAATCATAGCGACATTCTGAGAGTTTGCTGGGCGTTTTCGCGGCCCTTGCTGAGGGGCAGCTTGAGCTGGAGCTCCAAGACAGGCACCGCGATTCGACTGTCCAAGGTGCTGGCGAGCCACCTGTCGTAAACGCGGTACATCTAGCAGGCGGCATGAACTGTGTACCTCTATGACCTGTGACGATAACCATGCCAAAAGTGGCTGTACTGCGGTTGCAGGCGGCAAAGCGTACCTTGAAAGGTGCGTAACAAAGTGCTACGCAGCATGAGGCCACGCAAATGCTTTGGCGCACTTCACGCCAAGCTGTGCCCAAAGCTCCACGACCTCTCAGGTCGTGCAAAGTTAGGAAAGTTGCGTCCTTTCGGGATCTTTCGGGGTAGGTTTCTCAGACCAAGGCCCTCCCTTCCGCGTAGCGCTCGACAATCCGGTCGAGATTGTTGAGCTTGTCTTAGCAGGTCCAATGCCGTGGAAGAAATTAAGGACGGGAGGAGAAAAGAAGGAGAACCTAAGGAACGACCGTGCAATGCATGCCCTGGCCCAAATGATGCACTAAGTGCTTTTCAGCACAGCGAAGTGCGCGGCGGTGTATCAGTGACTGCAACGGTCGTGCACCCTTACCTCTAGCCAAAGGCAAAACTCTCCTTGAGACCTACCACACTACACAATGATAGGCCTCTGAAACTCTCCGCTCATGATGGTCCGCTGCTCAGCGCTTTGAGGACAGTGTCCGTGAGAGCCAGTCCAAACCCTCGTATAGACCGTCTCCCGTGGTGGCACACGCGGATTGGATGAACCACTGGCGATGGCGCAGATTGTGCAGCCCGAGCTTCTCAGTGACCTCCGCCGCAGTCATTGCATTTGGCAGGTCCTGGCACGACAGCTCTGTAGCGTAGCCCATGTGACATCCGAGGTCTTGATCATGTCATCGCTTCATCAACCTACTCCGATGTTCACAAACATCGCGCCTGCTTGTTGGCGAAGACCAACAGCACAGCATCGCGCATCTCGTCTTCGTTCAACATTTTGTTGAGCTCTTCTCGGGCATCTTCGATTCGGTCCCGGTCGTTGCTGTCAACCACGTAGATCAGGCCGTTTGTGCCCTGGTAGTAGTGGCGCCACAGGGGGCGAATCTTGTCCTGGCCTCCGACATCCCAGACCTTAGAATCGCGACAAGTGCCGAATTTGGGCCACAGGCTCTTCTCACTTGTGGTTGACTTCATTGCGAGACAGCAATGCACTCATGCTGTTCACCGCAACTAAGCTTCCGACGGTGAAGGACAGATTCTTGTACCTTGCCGGTGCAAGCAGAAAGTTGCGATCCCCGCAGCTGAGGTGCTGAAGGACATGTGAACAATGAGGGTTGCTGTTAACGCAAAGGTGCTCAACGGTCTCCACGTTGAACCCAATGGTTGGGATCCTTGGCAGCCGACTCTCATCTGAGGAAATCTTGAGTCATGCCTGGTATTGAGATGCACTGGATCACAGCAATATCGCTTGG